TCTGAGATAGGAAGGACAGTGATGCCAGGCCAGCCTGGGCAAAAAGTTTGCAAAAACCCATCTCAACAAAAAAATCTGGGCATGGTGGCGCACACCTGTCATCCCAGTGAGGAGGGAAGATTAAAATACAAGGATTCCAGTCCAGGCTGGCCTGGGTAAACACAAAGACCCTATTCTCCAAAATAACCAGAACAAAAAGGGGTAGAGGTGTAGTTCAAGTGGTACAGTGCTTGCCTACAATGCGTGAAGCCCTGACTTCAAAGCCCAGTACCAGCAAAAAAAAAAAAAAGGAGCAATGGATTTAATATCTAAGCTAGAAAATTTCTCATATTTCTAATTGAGAAAATAAAACATATACCCATTCTTTATATATATCTGCTAAAAAGTGAATGATGTTCGGTAATGGTAATGGTTCTAAAATCTCACAAAAACATCCGCCACAATTACCAACAATTAAAGGTGGAGCATGTCCATCTTTCATTTAATTTCACAAGTATTCATCCAAACAGGCTTTAGAAACAAAAGACTCAAAAGTCACTGCTGCCTGAGGTCATGACAAAAATTAACAGGAAAAGAATAAATAAGGTTATACCACTACTTTTAAAGCATTTGTTTTTCAAAATTAAACCTACTATATTTATCATTGAACTCAATAGCTTTGGGAAGGAAGGAAATTTATTAAATCATAACTAAAGTATCTGAATTTTAATTAAACCAGTTTCTGTGTCTATCTTTGTATTTTATGGCAACCAAAGCCTTAAAGTGTAATTATTATCAATTTTAACCAACTAGAGGCAATCATTTTTTTAAAATACTTTCTAAAATGCCAGGTGCATTGGTGCATGACTGTAATCCCATCAAATGGGAGACTGAGACAGGAGGATCTTGAGTTCAAGGCCAGCTTGGAGTACGTAATAAGACCCTGTCTCAAAAAATAAACAATTATTTTTAAAAACTAACTACAGGATGGATAATTTTCTCCAGCTCTTGAACCTTCAATCTATTTTCTTTTTCTATTTAACACCAAACCTCAGTCCTAGAACCAGTTCAAACTATACACAAGAAGGAATCTAAGAGGCTGAGGTTCAAAAAGGAAATCTACAATCAAATTGCAATTATCATTAATCTAACTTTGATACTGGTAAGCCCAATGCTCAGAATTGGATCACTTCTTTTTTACCAATACCTGAATTATATATTTATTTATTTATTCAGTTATTTTGAGACAGAGACTCGTTATGTAGCCCAGGCTGGCCTCAAATTCATGACTCTCTTGCCTCAGCTTCTCCCATGGTTGGCATTACAGCACAGTCCACCACGCCCAATTGAATTCCTCTTCTAAGTTGATTGAGCTGTACTTACCAGCCTCTCATCAAAGAAGAAGGAATACTAGTATATCAAAAGACTTAGAATTTACTAAATGCCTGGATTTCAAACAGGACCACCAGTCACAATGTCCTGTATTATAATATCAAATGCCTGTGTAAAATATTACCTGAAATGCCTGCCCTCAAATACCATCTATTCTCTGACCTACTTGACGTTCAAAATTACAACCTTCAGATACTTCTATCCCTCTCCTGATAGAAAGTTGTTCCAATGAGTGAGTCTAGTTCCAGTTCAAGGTACTCTCTTCTCCTGCCCCTCTGCCAGGATGTCATTCAAGTTAATAAAGCAATTCCTAGTCACATGGAGAGGAAAAAATCAACACTGTGCAGTTAAATAAGTAAGAACCAGGCATTCACTGCTCTCAGAACCTTGCAGCCTTACGACAGACACAAACTCATAAGCAATTAACTTTATGCTACCAAACCTAAACTAAATTATACTTAATAGAAGCAAATACACAGGGAGTTTCTTTAGACTACTTGAAAAAGGTAAACTCTATGAAGTGGTGGCACATGAACCAGATTTGAAAGGTTGGTAACAGTTTAAATTTGAAAAAGCATAGCAAGCTATTCAGAGTTGCCAAAACCTAAAAAACAAGCAAGATGTTCAATAGGTGAATGGATAAACAAACTGTATACCCTACAATGGAAATATTTCCAAAAGATAAAAAGAAGTACTCTATCAGAGACACAGATGCCCATTAAATGCGTATTTTCAAGTAAGTCAATCTGAAAATGCTGTATGACTGCAATTATATTACACGCTGGAAAGGGCAAGTCTACTAAAGAATGGGTGGCTGTCAGGAATTGGGATAAGGGGCTGAATGCAGCAGGAAGACTGTTCTGAATGGCACTATACTGGTGGACACATGACTGCATGCACTTGCAATTCAGCACAAACAATGAACCTTAATGCATACAAACTTTTAAAAGTATTAAGATGGAAGAGGATTCCAAAAAGGAATACAGACCATGACGAGAGACTCTACTAACTGTCTTAACAAACCTATGAAACAATCTCAATGAAGGAGGTAGGAGAAAAAGGTGAAGATCTAAAATTCAAATTCAAATTTTCAAATTAACTTTGAAAATGAATGGAATCTATAGAAATAAAGGCAAAAAGAACTATCCATAAATGTTGTACCTTAATCAATAAATATATTACAGCACATAAACAGGACAAAAATCACATGATCATCTCAATGGATGTAGAAAAAACCTTTGACAAAATTCAACATCCTATCTTAATAAATGCTCTGATGAAACTAGAAATAAAAGTAAAGTATCTCAACATAATAAAGTTTACAGCCAACATCATACTAAATGGGGAAAAACTGAAACCATTTCCTTTACAGTCAGGAATGAGATAAGGATGTCCACTCAAGGAAGCAGGAGGAAAAAGGAACCCTTATACAGTGTTGGTGGGAATATACATTAGTACAACCAGTATGGGAAACAGTAAGGTGGCTCCTCAAAAAACTAAAAATAGAACTGCTATATGACCCAGCAATAGCACTCCTAGGCAGATACCTGAAGCAATATAACTCAGGTTACAATAGAGACACCTGCACGCCCATGTTTATTGCAGCACTATTCCCAATAAGCAAGCCATGGAAACAGCCCAGATGCCGTACAACTGATGAAAGGATTAAGAAAATGTGGTATTTATACACAACGGAATTTTATTTCACCATAAAGAAGAATGAAATTTTTTCATTCACAGGTAAATGGATGGAACTGGAGAACATCATCTTCAGTTAGCCAGGTTCAGAAAGACAAAGGTCGCATGTTTTTTCTCAAATGGGGAAGAGAGATTCAATACAAATACAAACATTATTATATATACATATAAATACATGCAGAACATGTTTCCAAAAGTGGAACTGTTAGAGGAGACTAAGGGAGGAAGAAGAATCATAGAGTAAATAATAATAAAATATATCACATCTGTGTAGGAACAAGACACAGTGAAACACACTGAAAACTGTTCAACAATACGGGATGGGGGGAAAGGATGAGGAAGAGTAGTGAAGGGGTTAGACTGATTTAAGCACAAAATATTTATAGGTAAATTACTAAAGCAAAAATCGCCACTGAAAAATGAACAGACACCTGAACAGTGAAGGACAGCAATATAAAACAGGTCGTGTTAAGGGGAAAGGGAGGGTAAATGAAGAGAGTAAAGGAGGTGAATGTGGGTAATGTACATTCTATACAGGTGTGAACATGAAACACTGAAATCACCTTAAGAAGTGAAATGGGGTAGGAGGGAGAATAATGGAGAAGATGAACAAACCAGGGTACAGTACATGTACATCACATGAAATATCACAATGAAACCCCCTATAAAACTATCATATACTAACATAAACGTTTTTTTAAAAAATGAAAGGACAGGAAAGTAAAATGGGTCCTATCCCAGGGTGGGTACCGGGGAATGGGAGGGTCATAAGGAAAGGGTGAAAGCGGGTGAATGTGGTAGAAACAGTATGTATCATGTATGAAAATGGAAAAATGAGATCTGTTGAAACTAATACAAGTATGGGGGCAGGGAGGATAAAAGAGAAGGGAATGAATTCAACTCTGATATATTGTAAGAACTTTTGTAAATGTCACAATGTATCCCTCTGTACAACTATAATATGCTAATAAAAAATAAATCATAAGAAAGTCATTTCTGGCTGGGGACATGGTTCAAGAGGTAGAGAGCCTCCCTAGCAAGCATAAGGCCCTGAGTTCAAAACCCAGTACCACTGGGATGCAGATAAATAATTCTAATACTACTATAATGTACACTACCTAAGTGAACAATTAAGTAAATGGATGGCAGAAGATGGGAAAAGGTTTCTTAATGTTGGAGTGTGAGTTCACAGATATACAAGAGAAGAAACTAGAAGGATCTATGTGGGAATGGATTTTTAGAGACATCAGTGAAAAGTCATGTTTGGTTTTATATTGATACAAATGGTTATATCTAGATGCTTATAGATATGTGAACATATACACTTTAAAATATACATATATAATTCCTTGATCTGTCAGCTGAAAGAGCCTAAAAGAAACCAGACTTCATTTGATGGAGGGAATCTAGCAAGATGAGACATTAGCTGGAAAAATCTGTCAGGAAGAAAGAGTAAAGTAAGTCAGACCTTTATGTGGGAAGAAGCACAGTAGGACATGAGTAACTTTAGATCCTGTTCAATCCATTAGGGAAAAAAGCAGTACCTTTTCCATACACCCATCCAGATATCTCATCTTCAAATAAAATAATCTAACCAAAATCATAGTACGAGAAGAAATCTCAAATATGGAAAGAGCACAATTAGCACAGGCCCAGAACATCAGTCTACAATGAAAAAACAATCCTCCTCTCTGACAAATTGACGAAGCACGAGTGTGTGGGGCACACGGAGGCAGAGAGAACATGCAATACTAAAGTATGGCAGATGTCAGGAGAAATTCCACCTTTTGGAAATACTACTAAAAAGAGTAGCTAATGAAATTATTATTATTAAAGCATTAACCCCACTCATATCTATTGAATAGTTAAGAAAATAAAAAACAGGAAGATACCCAGTATTTGAAATGACAACTGAGAATGTAATCACTCACTTCTAACAACTCTGAGACAACAGGCAGAACTTCGGGATTACAGATGTCAATGGAGTCATCCCGGTATGTCTTCTTTTTATAGCAGATATTACCCAAATGTAATATTGCTGAGAGAAGAGAGAAAATCCTGTGAAAATAAAATCACAAAATACAGTCAGCACATGTGTACTCTCAAAGCTCATTTCATTCCAAAATTCTAGCTAAGCAAATCAGTGAGTACAAATACGAAGCATTTAGTCTTCAGAAAAACAAGAAACACAAAAATAATACTGTAACTAAAATTTACTATTTACAGTATGTCAGGTATTGCACAAGTGTTTTACATGACCTGAGTTTCAGTCTATACAATTTGTTATGCAGTTGATTCAAGGGGACTTCTTGGTATTGCCTCAATTTGCTGTAGTGTTACAAGTCTATGTCTTTCTTTGTTTTGGGTGGTTTTTTTTTTTGGGGGGTGGTTGGGGACTGGAGTCTGAACTCAGGGCTTTTGCACCTCCAGTCCATTTTGGAGATGGAGATCTTGTGAACTATTTGCCTGGGCTGGCCTCCAATCTCAATCCTCCCAATCTCAGTCTCCAAAGTAGCTGGATTACATGTGTGAGCCACCAGTGCCCAGCTCAGTCCATGCCTTTCTAAATACTGTTCCTCCTGCCTTGAATGCCTTTTCCCTGCACTATTTCACATACCCTGAATCAGAATCTCCAAAGGAAAGGCCTTAGAATCTGCATTTTTACCAGGTGACTTTTTATGATTATATTTTTTCAATGCATCTTATTATGGTGCCCTTAATAAAAACTTTATTTAAAAAGGAGGCCCAGGGAGGTATACTGCCTAATATCAGGGCCCTAGTGTGAAGCACTATCAGTTGGACCCTCTCTTATCTATGACCATCCCACATCAGAGGAATACATGCCCTCAACTCAACAACGAATCCCTCCATGGAAGCACTCCAGTGCATCAACTCCTCACCTCAAGAACCTCATACTCATCTCCTATTTCTCGCCTAAACGTACAAGAACTTTCTATCAAAATATTCTTGTTTTACCAGTGGGCGGAGGAAGGATATAAGGAAAGGGTATAGGAGGGTGAATGTAATGGAAATATTATGTACTCATATGTAAATGGAAAAATGAGACATGTTGAAACTATTCCAGGAATGGAGAAAGGGGGGAAATACAAAATGATGGAGAGGGTGAATTCAACTGTGATATACTATAAGTACTTTTGTAAATGTCACCATTTACCCCCAGTACAATAATATATTAAAAAAAATTCTCGTTTATTTTTTCTTTAGTTTTAAGATGGGGTCTTGTTATAGCGCCCAGGCTGCCCTAGATACTAAGTAGACTTGGCTGGCCTTGAACTTGAAATCTTCCCAAGTGCTAGGACTTTTACAGGCCTGTATCACCATGCCCACTTTATTTTCCTCTTCTTTTAAATAAACCATCATAAATCTAACACATTCTCCTCTCACAAAAAAGCTTACCAACATGTTAAACTCGGTCTTCACTTTATCATTCCTATTCACCTCAGATTTGACATCTGCTACCCACTAATGTGCCTCAGGAGGTGCCAAGGACTTGCACTTATCTAAAAACAGAAAATGCTGCACATTGCTGACGTGTCAGAAGCATGTAACACAGGGGAACACTCCATTTGAAGCCCTTCTGAATTACTATACATACATATCTCTGTGTCTTGTCTGGTGGTTTCCTTAAGATAAACATGATCTATTTGTGAAAATGTAAATATGTATCTTCCTAAAATTAGGAAATATTCTGAATATAACAAAGATAATACTTCAGGAACCAGATATACTTGGAGAGGTACTGAATCAACATCTAATTCATAGGTCTACTTTTTCTAGTAATTTATAATTTAAATGTTAAACGTTTGAATCATTCACATTTCAGAGAAAATAGGTCAACTATAAAGAAATAATTCACCCGTTACCAGTGGCTCACATCTATAATCCTAGCTACTTGGGAGGCAAAGATCAGTAGGATCTCAGTTAGATGTCAGCCCCAACAAATACTTCCTGAGACTCTATCTGAAAAATACTCAAAACAATACAGGGCTGGCGGAGGGGCTCAAGTGGTAGAGCACCTGCCTAGCAAGTGTGAGGTCCTGAGTTCAAACCCCAGTACTACAAACAAAACAAAAAAGAAGAAGAAGAAAAAAGAACTAAAAGGCTGGCGTTAAACTCTTGATCCTCCTGCATCTACCTCCCCATAGTGCTGGAATTTCAGGCATGCACCACCATGCCCAGCTCTATGGCCCAATGCTTAAAAGTTATTTTTAGTAGTAGTTTGTAAGGTTGCTAATGACATTGTTTTCATATTTTAGGTTCAATAATCAGCATATTAGTGTTCTCACAAATATGTGACACATACTCTCTAGCAATAATAAATGTCATATAAATAATTAAAATACTATAAATATTTTTATATTTTCAGATTAGGAATATTCAGTCAGTAAAGTCTATGCAGATATTCCAAAATCTGAAAAACCTCCAAGATCTGAAACACTTTGGATAAAGTATACTTAATCCATATTAAATTAAATAGCAGTGATACTTACTATTTTTTAATATAATGTCAGTTGGGAATATAATGATCTTCATACATTAAGGAGTTGTGTTTGCATTTTCTGATATGAATGACTCTCATTTTGAGAAAGCCTTCAGTATCATTCTTTCAACTGTTAGATCCAGATATTCCCTCACACTGAGTTTGCATTTTAATTAGACTGGTCTTGTTCTCCAAAACATTATGTTGTACTGTGAACATTCACTCTTTTTGCCATTTGGAATGATCTTTATTTCTTTTCCACTCATTGAAGTATTTTCAATGTTTTGAGTAGAGAACATACTATGTGTACTGCCACTCCCCTCTCCTGTGACCATGGTAAACTCTACTAATAAATTACAGCATTCTTTTCTACTAACTGAGACCTGCTTTAGACTCTCTTATGACATAACCTCATGGGCAGCTTTAAGTGTTAGCATGTGAACTGAAACCTGTTTTCTTTAAAGCACTGTTCATGTTTTACCTTTTTCAAATGAAAAGTTTCCATAATTCTGCTTTGTTTCAGCCTTCAGTATTTTAAGATAACTATCCTTTAGTATAATTATTTACTGTTAATTCCTAAATAAGAGATGATAAGTGTTTTGAGAACAAGATTAGTCATATTTAAAAATTTAAAAATATTTATAGTATTTTAATTATTTATATGACATTTATTATTGCTAGAGAGTATGTATCACATATTTGTGAGAACACTAATATGCTGATTATTAAACATAAAAACTTTTAAGCATCAGGTTGGTACTCAGAAAGTTTTATATTTCCACATTAGAGATACTCAATCAGTATACACAGAGACACTTCATTCAGTTCGTATGTCATTCAGTCAGGTGTCACACACAGTAATGAAGTATTCTGATGGGACAGGGGAAGAATCAGAGCATGGAGACACTGGCAGGTGTATTCTCCTTTACTGACTAAGTTTCAGTGAATTGAAGTTTCTGTGTTTACATGTTAATAAGTTATATTATTTGGTTTTAACTAACTGCATTAAAGGAATCTAGTAAAGACTCTGCTAGTTGGAGTCATACCAATGATATAAGTGCAAACAAGAAAACAGGAAAGCTAATATTCTCCTACTTCTAATATGAGCTCATTATTCAAGAGATTTAAAATTGACAATATAATCAGATCTGACTAATTCCCCCCTCAGGAAATAATCCTATGTAGAGCCAGATGCAGAAGTGTGCACCTGTAGTCCCAGCCACCTGGTAGGTTAAGGCAGGAGAACTGCTTGAATCCAGGAGTTCAAGTCCAGCTTAGACAACACAGCAAGACTCTATCTCCAAAAAAAGTTCTAAAAGTTCTAAGAAACTATTTTCTCTGGTGAAAGACAAATTTGTGTCATTAATTTTGAATAGAGTTTGTTTTACATTAAATGTAACTTACTTCATCTTCTACTGCACCCATTTTACATCTCTCCTTCACTTGCATTCACCACAAATAAGCAAATCCTTGGTGGCACTGAGGGCTGAACTCAAGGCCTGTGCTTCCCAGGCAGACGCTCCACCAGCCCCAACAAAAAAAAATTAATACAAGCTGGGCACCTGGCGCAAATCTGTAATCTTATCCACTTAGGAGACTGAGACTGGAAGGATCAACCTTCCAGGCCATTCCAGGCAAACAGTTCTCAAGACCCCATTTCCAAAATAACCAGAGAAAAATGGACTAGAAGTGTGGTTCAAGCAGCAGAGTGCCTGCTTTGCACGTGTGAAGCCTTGGGTTCAAACCCAGTTCCACCAAAAACAAAAGAAAAAAAATTTTAGTACAATACTGCACACATAAATACACAATGGAAACATTAGAAAACTGCATTTACTTATAGGTGTGAATAACTTAATGAGATTAGCGATCACTGATAAAGAAAATAAGGAGCTATAAAAATAACGTTTTTGGACTGGAGGTGTAGCTCAAGTGGTGGAGTGCTTGCCTCACAAGACTGAAGCCCTGAGTCCAAAATAATAATAATAATAATAATATAATAATAATAATAATAATAATAATAATAATGATAATGATAATGTTATAAATTAACAGTTTTTAAGTAATGTCCATGGATAGGCTTCAGGGGCACCATGAATTCTTGCAATTATATGCAAATATTTATCAATGTACATTTTACAAAAAGAAGATCTCTAGCTTTCATAAGATTGTCAAAGAACTTATGACAAGAAAAGAAACTCAAAACAACACTTAAAACAGACGAGATAATGGATCAGGAATACTAGTTACAAAAATGTATAGAAGAACCAAGGGAGAGAAATCTTACAAAAACACATCATGATTTCTTCTCTACTGGGAGTAGAATATAATAAATAAACTCACTGTCTTCGCGTCTTGGGAAGAAATCCTACCATTTCCATGGCCAGTTGTAAGCGTTCAAAGTCATGCCTCAAATCTTCTCCCTCCACTGTAAAGCAGTCCTGCTTAAGAAAAAAGGGGGAACTATCACGATTACCTGATAAAAAAAATAATGTGGGCCTCAAAAATGTTAATTTAAGTACACTCATTTATAAAGGCAAAGAAAAACTGAAGGAATATTTAGACACAATTAGACTCATTAGACCTCTTATCAACTACAGGTAAAGCAAAGTAATAAATACACCCACCAAAATGCCAGGACATTTGGTTTGCACTAGGACGCAAAAGAACATAATCTCCAAGCTTTCTATCTTTGTGGCAGCCCAGAATGAATTGGGGAACACATCAATAGGATAAAAAAATTTTAAAAGAAAAAAAAAAAATACCAGTACATTTCCTTTTTTTCTCCCTTCCACAACCAACAACACAAGAATCTCAAGAGTAACAACAGCCAGCAGTACTTGTAAAGTATGCTGATACCAAGAGTTTGATTTTAAGCACTTCAAAAGAGTTTCAGGGATTCAAGGCATTAACAAAGCTCAATTCCACAAGCAAATGGCATTTATTCAACAAATACTTAACAAGTGCCCACCATATGCAAGGCACTGAAGTAAATCCTGAGAATATTTAAAAAAAAAAATAAATAAGCTGGGCACCAGGGGCTCACCCCTGTAATCATAGCTACTTGGGAGGATGAGATCAGGATGACTGAGGCCAGTCCACGCAAATATTTCTAGAGTCCCCATCTCCACAATAACCAGAGCAAAATTGACTGGAGGTATGGCTCAAGCAGTAGAGCACCTGCTTTGAAAGCCTGAAGCTGAGTTCAAACTTCAGTCTCAAAAAAAAAAAAAAAATATTTAGAGGCAGTAATGCTGTTGAGAAGTAGATCCTAGACTTATATAGTATAAAGCAATTGATGTGATAGCTATACTAGGTGTTTAAATAGTTTCTAATGAAATAATATAGGCAACACGGTAATCAACCAAGGAAAGCAGTGTATAAAAACACACTATGTGAGTGAGAAAAAATACTTTTAGATACCAGATTTTTAAAACAAACAAAAAAAACCTCTTAGTGTAACCACTGCATTTCAGTTCCCAAGAGAGTCAAACAGCGACATCAAATAATCTAAATCTCTGAAAAAATCTTTGAAATTCCTTTACTACATGCTCTCATACTCCTTTGTACTTACATTGTCAAGAACTCCTCACATTTGTGTTTACTTTTATAAATGCCTATCTCCCTAGGGAATGTTCAAAACCAACTCAATGAACTCAAGAACTATTATCTGTCTTATTCAGTGCAGATCTCAAGCATTAACTCAGTGCCAAGAATATGCAAGGAATTACTGAAGTAAATGGATACTCACTGAATTACTGAATAATATACATATACTGAATTGAATGGCATTTATTAAGTACCTACCATGTATTTTAAGAATGAGTTAATAAGTACATCTAGATATAATAGTTTAAAATTAAATCTTTTAAGTTTTAAAATGAAAACAGTATTTTTATTTTCTTTATGAAAAGGTACATATGTACAGGCTAAAATGTTTAACTCACTACAAGAAAAGTTCTTCTGAGAACAAAAGCATCTAATACTCTGACTATGAAATTTTGGCAAGTTGTTTTTAAGATGTGTTCTACAGACATGCCAGTGACAATGCTCTACTCACAACACTAAGTGTTTTCAGTTAATGTGATCTGCTTTCACCTACACTAACACTTGTTTCCTTTTGTTTTTGGAGACAGGCTCTCTCTATATAGCTCACTCTGGCCTCCAACTCACAATCTTCCTGCCTCCTCCACCTCTCAGGTGCTGGGATTACAAGCATGCACCATCACACCCAACTTTAATAAAGCTTTATAAAAAGCTCTTTTGCTTCTATTTTCCCCAAAATTACAGTTTATTCATTTTATGATTTAGCAAACACTCTCTGTAACAAGAAGTAGGGGTAATCAGTGCTTCCACTTGTACAAGTTCAATGATGCAATGATTCTTACAACTAGTAAGTGTTCTTATTTGCCCTACAAGTGAGTGAAATAATTAATGAATATAAAATACTGGGAAAGTAAGTTGAAAGAGGCACTAAAATATAAATACGCATACATTTACTATGCTCTTCATCAAATGTTATTCAAAAGTACAATGTGCTTTCAGGAAACACCAAAATCAAAATGAATTTTTTTTAAAAATTGCACTGATTCTGTTTCTCTAATGACAACCATAGAAGAAAACCTAAAGACAGATGGAATCAGACCAAAACTGCCCTTATGTTCTATTTAGGTTCCCCTGGAAGTCAACCTTGGGACAGACCAAATTTCAAGTACAAGGAATAGAGGAAGTGGGAAAGTAAAATGGGGAAGGGAAGGCAGCCTGCCCAATGTGATCTCTGAGAAACAACGCAAAACCTAGACAGGTGGGGGAGCTGCAGTATTCATTATGCCATCTCTCAGAATTGGGTGATAACCTATACAGACAGGACCAAACAGCTTTAATTCCCAAATCACTTCTAGAGGCCCTCCAAGAGAACAAAGTCCACCCAATGTCCTGAGAAAAACCTTCAGATATCAAGGTATGAATACTGATGGGCCACAGAACCATGAAATGGTAATGTTCAAAGGATAAAATAAGGAACTAAGCAACAACTATTACAACCTCTTATGCCAAAAGAACACAGCTAATTCCCCTGATCAACCCAACAGACTCATTTATCATTTGATAATATACCACTACATCCCTCTTACAAAACACATGGCTTTTTCTCTTTTGATTGAAATGGAACCAGAACCCTTTCTTATTTACAAATACCAAGGATTAAGCCTAGCATGTAGAAGGTACTGAATGTGTGTGAGAAGGAGAGAGTCAAATTCAGTATTTTCTTCTATTCTGCCTGTATTTCTTTAAATGGCATTTAAGAAATCATACTTTTTTGGGCTGGCAGAGTGGCTCAAGCTTTAAGAGCACCTACCTAGCAAGAGTGAGGCCCTGAGCCCAAAACCCAGTGCACCAAAAAAAAAGAAAGAAAGAAATCTTATCTTTTAAATTACAAATGTATAGTACAGCACATAAATCAGAACAATTTAGTAAAGATGTTAGAGATCATTTAAGAAAAAGATAGAAAGAGCATAGGTTTGGGAACAAAGACAACTATGTTTTCCTGTAGGTTGTTAGAACTTTTGTGACTAGCGTTACAGGAAGACAGGACTGTCAGAGAACTGTTCTACCATTTGTGCTACATTACTTGTATATTTTATGGTGATTGTGAGGAAATACTTTTCACATGGGACCTCTTGCTGCCCACTGTCATAGACATTGAGATGTCTGTAGAATGTGTCTTAAAACTGCTTGCCAAAATATTTAGTCAGAATATTAAATGAATGTTTTCTCAGAAGAAATTTTCTTGCACTGAATTTTTCTTTTTTTTGGTGAGACTGGGGTTTGAACTTTGAACTCAGGGCTTTGTGCTTGCACAGCAGGCGCTCTACCACTTGGGTCACACGTCCAGCCCATTTTGCTCCAGTTATTTTGGAGATGGGGGTCTCCTGAAACTATTTGCCTAGGCTGGCCTCAAACACTGATCCTCCTGATCTCAGTCTCCCAAGTAGCTAGGTGCCCAGCTTTGCGGCAAATTTAAAATGTACTGTGAGGGAGAGGTAACAGGAAAGAAACCACAACATTCTCAAAATAAGTGCTTGATTTTGTTAATTGTATGAAGAATCAGAACAACAGCTATTTGAAAATACAATGAGCAGGAACATGAAGATGAACGTAATAGTAAGAGTAGGAAATTATGGTTACCAAGCTCTCCCAAAGATGTCAATGATGGCAGTGACAATGATAGAAACATCTTTCTGCACTCTATCAAACTCTTTATCTGCACTCTATCAGACTCTTTATATGCATAAAAGATTTTTTGGTTTTCTGAGACACGGGCTCACTACGTAGCCCAGCCTGGCCTCTAAATCTCACTCCTCCTGCCTTGTCCTCCCATGTACTACTAGGATTACAGATGTGTATTGCTACACTAGGTCAAATACTATTACTATTCCCTTAAATAGATGTGGGAAGAAAAAGTATGAAGTGGCCTGTTGAAAGTGGAATTAAAACACGCAAGTGGGTGAGTCAGAATTCAAGTCAGGTCAATTTACTTCAGAGTCCAAATTCTTAAGCATTACTTAAACTAACTCCAACAAAAGCAGGAAGTTCACAGTTTCACTGTAAGCTCTGAACAGGTAATCAATTCATATTTACAGTACGTGTCTGCAGTGCCCTACCTGCTTTCCAAAAAGATATGATCCACTTGGTGTAATAATAAAAGCTGGAAAGGAGGAGCTTCTTAAGAGTGGCAAAACAACTTAAAATTTTTCTATTAAAATTCATCAAAAAATCTCCACAATGCAGTAAAAGTAGAACTCAACAACAAAAGTAAAGACAAAAAACATGCAAACAGCTGGAAACTAAATAACTCATTACTTAATGAAGAATGGATCATCGATGCAATAAAAGAGGAAATTAAAAAGTTCCTGGAAGTCAATGAAAACGAAAATACAACCTTCCAGAACCTATGGGACACAGCTAAGGCAGTCCTGAGAGGGAAGTTTATAGCCATGAGTGCATATATTAAAAAGACTGAAAGATCCCAAATCAATGACCTAATGATACATCTCAAACTCCTAGAAAAACAAGAACAAGCAAATCCCAAAACAAATAGGAGAGAAATAATAAAAATAAGAGCTGAAATCAACGAAATAGAAACCAAAAAAACCATACAAAGAATTAATGAAACAAAAAGTTGCTTCTTTGAAAAAATAAAAAACAAGATCGATAGACCCCTGGCAAACCTGACTAAAATGAGGAGAGAAAAAACCCAAATTAGTAGAGTCAGGAATGCAAAAGGGGAGATAACAACAAACACCATGGAAGTCCAGGAAATCATCAGAGACTACTTTGAGAACCTATATTCAAATAAATTTGAAAATCTTAAAGAAATGGACAGATTTCTAGATACATATGATCATCCAAAACTGAACCAAGAGGAAATTAATCCCTGAATAGATCTATAACACAAAATGAAATTGAAGCAGCAATCAAGAGTCTCCCCAAAAAGAAAAGTCCAGGACCTGATGGATTCTCTGCTGAATTCTATCAGACCTTTAAAGAAGAACTGATACCAACCCTCCTTAAACTGTTCCACGAAATAGAAAGGGAAGGAAAACTGCCAAACACATTTTATGAAGCCAGTATTACACTTATCCCAAAACCAGGCAAAGACACCTCCAAAAAGGAGAACTATAGGCCAATCTCCTTAATGAACATTGATGCAAAAATCCTCAACAAAATAATGGCAAACCGAATTCACACAACACATCAAAAAGATTATTCACCACGACCAAGTAGGCTTCATCCCAGGGATGCGGGTGGTTCAACATACGAAAATCAATAAACGTAATAAACCACATTAACAGAAGCAAAGACAAAAACCACTTGATCATCTCAATAGATGCAGAAAAAGCCTTTGATAAGATCCAACACCATTTCATGATAAAAGCTCTAAGAAAACTAGGAATAGAAGGAAAGTCCTCAACATTATAAAAGCTATATATGACAAACCTACAGCCAGCATTATACTTAACGGAGAAAAACTGAAACCATTCCCTCTAAAATCAGGAACCAGACAAGGATGCCCACTATCTCCACTCCTATTCAACATAGTACTGGAATTCCTAGCCAGAGCAATTAGGCAAGAAGAAGGAATAAAAGGAATACAAATAGGTAAAGAAACTGTCAAAATATCCCTATTTGCAGACGACATGATCCTATACCTTAAAGACCCAAAAAACTCTACTCAGAAGCTCTAGACATCATCAATAGCTAGCAAGGTAGCAGGATATAAAATCAACATAAAAATCATTAGCATTTCTATACACTAACAATGAGCAAACTGAAAAAGAATGTAAAAACAATTCCATTTACAATAGCCTCAAAAAAAATCAAATACCTAGGTGTAAACCTAAAAAAGATGTGAAAGACCTCTACAAGGAAAACTATACACTTCTGAAGAAAGAGATTGAGGAAGACTATAGAAAGTGGAGAGATCTCCCATGCTCATGGTTAGAATCAACATAGTAAAAATGTCGATACTCCCAAAAGTAATCTACATGTTTAATGCAATTCCCATCAAAATTCCAATGACATTCATTAAAGAGATTGAAAAATCTACCGTTGAAATTTATATGGAAACACAAGAGGCCACGAATAGCCAAGGCAATACTCAGTCAAAAGAACAATGCAGGAGGTATCACAATACCTGACTTCAAACTATATTACAAAGCAATAACAATAAAAACAGCATGGTACTGGCACAAAAACAGACATGAAGACCAGTGGAACAGAACAGAGGACCCAGATATGAAGCCACACAACTATAACCAGCTTGTCTTTGACAAAAGAGCTAAAAATATACGATGGAGAAATAGCAGCCTCTTCAACAAAAACTGCTGGGAAAACTGGTTAGCAGTCTGCAAAAAACTGAAACTAGATCCATGTATATCACCCTATACCAAGATTAACTCAAAATAGATCAAGGATCTTAATATCAGACCACAAACTGTAAAAATGATACAGAAAGAGTAGGAAATACTCTATAGTTAGTATGTATAGGTAAGAACTTTCTCAACGAAACCCCAGCAGCACAGCAACTAAGAGATAGCATAGATAAATGGGACCTCATAAAACTAAAAAGCTTCTGGTCATCAAAAGAAGTGGTCTCTAAACTGAAGAGAACACCCACAGAGTGGGAGAAAATATTTGCCAGCTATACATCAGACAAAGGACTGATAACCAGAATATAAAGGGAATTTAAAAAACTAAATTCTCCCAAAACTAATGAACCAATAAAGAAATCGGCAAGTGAACTAAACAGAACTTTCTCAAAAGAAGAAATTCAAATGGCCAAAAAACACATGAAAAAATGCTCACCATCTCTAGCAATAAAGGAAATGCAAATTAAAACCACACTAAGATTCCACCTCACCCCTGTTAGAATAGCCATCATAGCAACACCACCAACAAAGGTGTTGGCGAGGATGGGGAAAAAGGAACCCTCTTACACTGTTGGTGGGAATGTAAACTAGTACAACCACTCTGGAAAAAATTTGGAGGCTACTTAAAAAGCTAACATTGATCTACCATTTGATCCAGCAATACCACTCTTGGGGATATACCCAAAAGACTGTGACACAGGTTACTCCAGAGGCACCTGCACACCCATGTTTATTGCGGCACTATTCACAATAGCCAAGTTATGGAAACAGCCAAGATGCCCCACCACTGACGAATGGATTAAGAAAATGTGGTATCTATACACAATGGAATTTTATGCAGCCATGAAGAAGAAGAAATGTTATCATTCGCTGGTAAATGGATGGAATTGGAGAACATCATTCTGAGTGAGGTTAGCCTGGCCCAAAAGACCAAAAATCGTATGTTCTCCCTCATATGTGGACATTAGATCAAGGGCAAACACAACAAGGGGATTGGACTTGAGCACATGATAAAAGCGAGAGCACACAAGGGAGGGTGAGGATAGGTAAGACACCTAAAAAATTAGCTAGCATTTGTTGCCCTTAACGCAGAGAAACTAAAGCAGATACCTTAAAAGCAACTGAGGCCAATAGGAAAAGGGGACCAGGAACTAGAGAAAAGGTTAGATCAAAAAGAATTAACCTAGAAGGTAACACCACGCACAGGAAATCAATGTGAGTCAATCCCTGTATAGCTATCCTTATCTCAACCAGCAAAAACCCTTGTTCCTTCCTATTATTGCTTATACTCTCTCTACAACAAAATTAGAATAAGGGCAAAATAGTTTCTGCTGGGTATTGGGGGGGAGGGAGGGGCGGAGTGGGTGGTAAGGGAGGGGGGGGGCAGGGGGGAGAAATGACCAAGCCTTGTATGCACATATGAATAATAAAAAGGAAAAAATGAAAAAAAAATCTATAAACTGAAATGTCTAATACTTATTTCCCAAAGTGTAAAATCTGAAAACAAAAGTTTCTTGATTTAAGAAATGGTAATGCAATTAAACTTTGTCTGAACATCCACACATACTGATCTTTCACAACATTTGACATAGGCTAATTTTACAATTAGTGGCATTTATAATTACATGCAATGAGAATTAAAGTCAGGCTCTTTAAGGAAGGACTAAGACATGCTATGTTTCCAAGAATATTCAATAAATTAATTCATTAGTTAGTTAATAAATATTAAGTAGGTAAGTGTATCTATGTGTGTTTTCAGCCTTTCATATCTGACCTAATTGCAAGCTAGGGAAAAAGACTTTGAGCTCTTTGTATGGTACAAACTTACCCCTATATAAAACGTAATAAATCAAAATAAATTTGCTGTTTTTATATTATATCATATAAGCCATTTAAATCAATTTATAACCTAAAATAATCTTATTTCTAGGAATTTCAAGAATTAATTTTTGGAAAAATTTCATTAAGGCTATAGCCTCTCTTGCTATTAAAAAGAAGGAAAAATGTTCATCCTGTTCATTGTATTGAAAAGACTGTTAACACAAAAAATAGGAAGAATGTAATTTTTTAAATAAATATGAATTACTACTCCTAATATGTGGGTAATGAAACTACTAAAAAGTAATTTTAAAAAGTGAATCTTAGGCTGGGGATGTAGCTCAGATGTACAGGGCTTGCCTACTATGCACAGGCCCTGGGTTGGATCTCTAGCACTGCAAAAATAAATAAATCTCAAGGAGAAAAAAACTTCAGTTCTACAGATCCACATCAACGCTGAAGAATCAGGAGTGCAATCAACTTATTGTTTGTGAAAATAACTGCTAAATGTAGATTAAACATTAGCAATTAAAAAATATCCAAAAATATTAAACTGATTTTTAATCAACAAATGTTATACATATAAATCAATCATTCAAATAAGCACTGATATATCTTCTTTCCCAGCAATATTGATATTTCAGTGATCTACACTCTAAGTTATGAGATGGACACAAATGGGCAACGGGAAGGCCCTTTAATGGAACACGTAATACTTAGGAGCTTGTACTGACCGGCTCAGAGTCATAGCAATAATCATCCCAGTTCTGTCTGAGGGGTTTCTTTGTTATCTGAAAGTAAGGCAGATTAGTTAGGTAGAAGATACTGTGATGTTATCTGAAAGTAAGGCAGATTAGTTAGATAGAAGATATTAGGTAATGGTTATAATACTCTGTGATGATCTCTTAGATGTAGTATGCGTACCACTGCTGCTATCCAAAGAAAAGTTATTTTGCATGGCAGCATAAAACAGAAAGAACTAGGTGAGCAATCTGGGAGATCACATTATTCTGCTCAAGTCATACATGCCATTGTTCAGTGAGTCCCTCCCACATCCTATGTCTGTACATTATGAAAAGAATATGTCATGGCCACTGCTTACAAAAAGATCCAGAGGGACAGTAACACTCAATTTTCCCTTTTAACAATTATCGTCTCATTAATGGGTAAATTCTACTTTATTAAAAAGAAAATATTTAATCACCCAGAAGATGAATTAAGAATTTCTTTTAAATCTACTTAATTTTGTCCAGTAAAAATTTCTGATAATATTAGATGATATTTTAACTTTGAAGTTCATGATATATTAATATAAAGGTAGTTTACATTAATGTGAAATTTCAAAATTAAGAAATATCAGTTACATACATTACTTTACATTCTGGCAAAAGTCTAAAGTGTTACTTTCATAACTTTGAATACACACTATAATCTTTGACACATCATCAAAGTATCAATTAATTACAAAATCTTCATCAGGATTTTTTTCATTGCCAAAGGAATTTTTTTCAATAGACATTATATCTTGCCTCAAACAAAAACTAGGAGGGAGCAATTTATTATTTAAATAATCTACTGTTAACACTAATTCTATTAACAATAGTTTTAGAATTTCTATTAACATGAGGAATAAAATTACAGAATTCAATGTCATGAAAAGTTGTGAGAATTTCTTATTATGGAAAATTGAGGGTGAATTTTGAGGTTTAAAGAAAGATTCAAATTCTCTTATTAGTTTACCTTTGAGGAATTTTATACTGAATGTTTAAGAGGACTGTTCATTAAATCATATAGTCACAGGCTAAGTCAGTATCATAATACCATGCAAAGACATATCATATGTGCACTGACTAGAAAACATGCCAATCAGGTCTGAAGGACAAGCATTAATCATCAGTAACATTTAACAGCCTGTGGAATGTAAAAGAGAAATCACTTTGAAAAAAGTACACCACTTTTTTGATGAGAAAGTACCAATAAAGAGATTATTACTATTTTCTTAAAGAATCTCACAAAACACAAAAAGGACACAGATTGTTAACATTTTAACACTTATATGAAGATGATACTAATTTTTAAATTTGAAAATTATATCACATAAATTTTTAGATTGCATGTATGAAAACACAAGTTAATACCCATTACCAGGTTTCAGAAAGAAAACACTTTAAAAAAAAAAAAAGCTTTTTTTAAGAACTAAAATTTAATTATACCACATATTTCAAAATGCTTTTTATGAATCTCACCTGATTGAGATAGTAATATTCCTCTGGCTGTTTAAGATGGAATGCTAACCTTTCTTCTTCACTTGCTCCCGCCAGGAGATAATAGAACACATGATAGTTCCTGTCAGGGGAAAATGTACAGCTTTATAATGAATATGATTTATGATAATCATTTAGCAACAAAAGTTAACATTAATTAGGAAAATATATTTGCTTTGCTTCATTTTTAATACAAATATGATTAATTCAATATTTAATTCTCTTACAAAACAGAATACAAATGAAGGCAGTGAAATGACAAAGTTCTGAGGTTCCTGAGAAACCTGGCGTATCTGTCAGAATTAATTTTTTTCAGAACTCTGAAAATTCATCAAAAGCTAGAAGAATCCAGGGAGTGATTACTAACTAGGCCTAACATGTTATCTACAAAATACTCCTTTCAACAACAGGACATGCATTTTCTCACATCCGTATTGTACATTATTAGACTAGAAAACAAGTCTCCATAAATTTAAGGGAACCGAAATCACACAACACTCCAACCACTTTGCAGTAAAATTAAAGACCAATAGCAGACATTTCCAAAACTGGCTGGGGATGTAGCTCAGTGGTAAAGCCCTTGCATAGCATGAGCAAGCCCCTGAGTTCAATCCCCAGCACCAAAGGAAAAAAAAAAAAAAGAAATTTTCAAAACTCACAAAGGTGGCAGCTCAACAACACAGTCATAAATAACCAAGGAGTTAGCAAAGAAATCACAGAGAAAATATATTAGGATACACAAAAACAAAAACACAATACAGTCACTGCCTGCTATCTGTAAAGAACTGGTTCCTGGATCCCTTCCCAAAATCCAGCAAGTGCTCAAGTGCTTTTTATAAAATGGCACGGCATTTGTATAGGACCTATGCACATCCTCACATAGTTTAAATCATCTCTAGGTTACTTACAATACCTAACACAATATAAATGTAAAGTGAATAGCTGTGTTACTGTATGATTTGGGGAAAGATGACTTATGTATGTTCAGGACAGTCCTTGACACTCTTCCCAAAAAAGTACAGAAGGGAACAATGTTCCAATTCATTCTATGAATCAGTACAGTTTTACTCTGATACCAAAACTAGATAAAGATATCATAAGAAAATCCTTGAGCAATGTGTCTTATGAATAACCAGAAAAATCCGTAACAAAATATTAGCAAACCAAATCAGCAACAAAGAATATGGAATATATGTACACAGATCTGCAAATCAAACACACTAGGATGGCAGAGAATCTCTTTGTAAACCCTAAGTCTGTACCTCCATTCATTCTTTTTTTTCTTTTTAGTGAGACTGGGGTTTAAACTGAGGGCTTCACACTTGCAAAGCAGGCGCTTTACTACTTGAGTCACACCTTCAACCCATTTTGTTCTGGTTATTAGATAGGGTCCTGCCAACTATTTGCCCAGACTGGCTTTAAACCATGACCTTCATGACCTCAGCCTCCCAAGTAGCTAGGATTACAGGCACCTAGCCCCATCCATTCTTAAACCCTAGACATCAGGCTTCTACTACTACCACTATGAAAATATGTTACCAAGAATTACTAATAACCTTCTAACACCAGTACCTAGTAAGTCCTGAAGTCTTTATAAACCATTCTCTTCCTCAAACTTCTCCCCACCTCAGTGCTAGGGACTGGACCTAGGCCTTGTGCATGTGCTCTACCACTGAACATACTCCAACTGTCTCCCTTTGTTTTGAAATACCTCCAATTCAGGTCTCCTCTTTTGTGAGCCACAAGAAAATTTAACAAAAAACCCAGAGTTCTTATCTTAGTATTGCCAGTAATTCATTATGATAACGTTAGCCCTTAATTACTGAACTTTTATTATATGCAGATCATGCTAATCATTTGTTATTTCATTCAGTCCTCTACACAACTTTACAATACTTTTCTATCTGTAAAATGGAAGTACAACATAAGGAACAGAAGTGAAATAAGATGCCCAAGGCATCAACTTCAATCTATGGCTCTTTATCGTACCTCATTAACGCATGATTTACCTCTCAGCATTTGGTTTCTTCATCTGAAGAATATCACCTACATTATCTCTAAAGCCCCATATTCCTAAAATGTTATATACTAAGAGCTTTACTGAAAACTTTTTCAAATTAGAAAAAGAATATTAAGAAAGGAAGAATGGCTCAAAGGCAGATGGCTCACAAAGAGCAAGGCTGTCTGCTCTGATAGTTTGCCTAGAACTGAGAAAGGGCAGCCGTTCTACATATCCAGTAATTATCTCCTAATGACCTCTGGAGCACTCTGCCCACAAAATAAAGAGCAATTATATGTGAAGCTATACATGACGCTAAGTGAACTAAGGAGTGTAGTATACAAAGAACCTAAAAGTCAATGTGCATAAAACTAATGTTAACTTGATTTCGTTACACAAAGAAAAATCTGTACCGTTCATTATGCTCTTGATAAACGAGTCTGGACTTCTCCAGCAGATATTTTTCAACATAGGCACTGGAAGAAAAAACAAAATTGGTTGATATAAATATTAAAGTTTCATATAAGGTACACATATTTAGATGGTACAAAAATATAATGAATATTCTCAAGACCATTTCAGTACATTTACCATTATAATTGAGTTATGGATGCTCTTAGTATAATCAATGTTAAATTCATAAAGTCATGAGCCTCAGCCTGGCTAGAGAATAAGACAGATAGACAAACTACTTCAAGAAGATTTAATACACTTTAAGTCCTGAAAATCATGAGGAGCTGAAATATCAAGTGTATTTCTGGTGTCTTATTATTTTTACCCAGATTGTACCCTTTAAATCTTCAATATCCCTTACCAAAATGGGAGAAATTGGCTAAGGCCTCACAAAAAAAAGGAAGTCTCTATAATCTGTAAGTTTAAAAAATTTAAGGCATTGGATTCAAACTACTTAACACAATCCCCAGTATGTCAAAATTTGAGTCTTGAGCTATATTTCTCCCAGTTACTCTCCATCACACTCTACCTCAGACACAAATACAGGCTCCTTTTTCCTAGCAAATATTGTGCCCTTATTTCACAAATGTAGAAACTGATACTAAAAGACCACATACTAACAAACAGCACAACTATGCTATGAACCCAAATCTGTCTTAACTACAAAGGCTCTCTGTTTTAACTATACCAACCTACTTTGTGGACATTTCTTTGTGGACGTTCCTCCAATCCGTGACTTATACTGGTACAAGAGTTACTAACCTACAAAATAAGATCTAGTCATACTATTCCTCTGCATTCACCTGCCCGCCACAATGAAGTTATACAGAGGTAAACTGACATGTCTGAGATTTTTTTTTTAAGTCAACACAGAAAAAGAAGGGACAAATTAAACAAATATGGTAAAAATGTAATCACTGTTGAGTCTGTCTAGGAGTTCCTTGTACTATTTAGTTGTGTAACTGACTTTTTTGATAAAACCTGCTTTGCAATGTTCTCAAGAGAGTAATTACAAGCACTAGTGCTTTATTCATAATTTGACACCAACTGACCACTATGACCATGCTCTATAGCAATTTTTCTTTCCTCCTCAAATGTACCAGCTCTAGTCATGATTCCACTCACTTGGTAATGTCAATTCCTGAAATGGTAATGTGATTTCCTGGTTCTGTTTGCTGAATTTTCAACACCCAACATAGAAATCTTGTTTTTTGTGAAAGCCTCCAGATATGTACTTTAATCATTGCACTCCTCTTGTTTTGTATCATCTTACATAAATATCTTTTCCCAAAGAGATTATGCAAACATTAAAGGCAGAGAACATGTCCACATCTTTTTATATCTCAGTATTTAAAACAGTGCCTGACACGCAAAATGCACTCCACAAATCTTTGCTGAATAAATGAAAGAGTTGAAAATATTCAAAATAGACTTGTTGCCATATTCAAGAAGACATTTGTTCATCAATGATGTAAGAAAACATTTAAACTTTTAAAGTAGTCCACACATGAGACCTTGAATTTCCTTCCAAAAATGGGAAAATAAACATCTGTAATTCTCCTCATTCACAAAACTGTCTTAAGAATCACTGGAAATACCTATCAGTACTTTGTAAGTTATAAAGCAGTATCTACAACTTTACCTATTATCACCCTCCCATAACTACTAAAGAACAGCCTGACAACTCAACTGCATCTCACTTTATGAAGAAAAGTACAAGCTATGGCTTTGCAAACTGATGAGTATTCACAATCAAGAAAGGAAATGAAATATGAAACTTGTCACTGACTTATTTCTCATTTTTGTTGTTGTTGGTTTTAGTTTAGGTTTTGTGCAGACCTGGGGGGAGTTGTATATACAATTTTTTTAAATTTAAATGTACAAAGTAAGACTTAAACATAATTAAAATAGCATAAAAAAGAAAAGTATACATTGATCTCACTAATAAGTATGCAAAAATCATAATAAAAACTAGCAAGTGTAACAACCAATTTATATGTAGGTGAACGTCTGTGTGTTTATACTGACCAAGTAGGATTACTTTTCCAGTAATGCCAGTACATGTCAGAACGAAGATACATTTATCTCCTTGAATGCGAGAAAGGTCTTTGATTAAATTCAATACTTATTACTGACAGAAACACTCAAGACAATTAAAATCTATGCTTAATTAGTTAGCATAATAAAATGTCCTAAATCCAGTATTTTACTCAGTGGACAAAAGGTCAAGACATTCACATAAATAGCAGAAACAGTATTATCATGGTATTGTTATAGTTTAGATCTTAAAAGTACTAGAGACCTGGTGCAAGCCTGTAGTGCTATTGGGAGAACCTAGTGGAAGCACATTAGGCCATAGGGAATGTGCCCTTGCTGGGGACATGGGGACACTGGCTCTTTCTTTCTGTCCCTTCTTTGCTTCCTACTCCACTACACACTCCCAGCCATGATGTTGTGCCTTGTCACAAGTACAAAAACAACAAAGCTGAGCAACCATGGACTGAAACTTCTGAAGCTGTGTGTCAAAACAAAATCTTTCCTCCTTTAAATCATTTGTCTTAGGTATTTTGTCACAGCAATGGAAGGCTAACAAACCCAGAATTGGAGGTGAATTAGGTAAGGTAGAAAATAATCAGAAATAAAGGAACTGAGAAAAAATAAAAAAGATCCTCAGTATGATAATATACCTAAGCCTCTAGGTATGAAAATACACCTAGTAAAAGTAATACAACAGAATAATCTGGCAAGCTAGCTACTTAAAATTATAAAAATCAATAGCTTTCAAATACACAAACAATATGCAATTAGAAGACAAAAGCAAGAGAAAAATTACACTTATATTTTAAAAATTAACAATAAAATACTTAAACTCAACCGGAAATTTTTAAAAAATTTAAACACTTCTGAAATTCACGTAAGTGTCAATTATCTCCAAATAATAGTAATTTCACATTAATCCAATGAAATCAAGTCATGGAGAGACATAGAAGAAACTTACATGCATATTGTTAGGTTGAATTCAATTTGAAAAGATTATCTACTGTATGATTCCAACTATATAACATTTTGGAAAAGGCAAAACTACAGAAACAGTAAAAAAAGAAAAAGAAAAAGAAAAAAAAGCAGTGAAAAGACTACTAGTTACCAAGGACCCACAGATAGGAAGGGCTGAATAAGCTGCACACAGCAGATTTTTAGGACCGTGAAACTATTCTGTATGATGCTATAATGGTGATCGTGTGGCTTCTACACATTTGTCAAAATGCAGGGAATGTACAACAGGATGAGTGAACATTAATGCAAATTACGGATTTCACAGTTAGTAAGAATGCATCAACACTGGCTCATCAACTGTAACAAATGGACCACACTAGTACAAGAGGTTTACAGGGAGATTTGGTGGAGGGGACAATATACGGAAACTCTCTGTACTTTCCACTTATTTTTGCTATGAAAAATAATCTGTTAAATTTTTTAAAGCTATAGAATATTCAGAAGTCTCTAATCATAGTCTGAATAAGAATTATTACTGTAACAAAATTAAATTTCTTGATTATAAGAATAGTACTAGCATCCGACAAAGGACTGATAACCAGAATATACAGGGAACTTAAAAAACTAAATTCTCCTAAAACTAATGAACCAATAGAGAAATGGGCAAGTGAACTAAACAGAACTTTCTCAAAAGAAGAAATTCAAATGGCCAAAAAAAAAAAATGAAAAAATGCTCACCATCTCTATCAATAAAGGAAATGCAAATTAAAACCACACTAAGATTCCACCTCACCCTTGTTAGAATAGCCATCATTAGTAACACCACCACCAACAGGTGTTGGCGAGGATGTGGGGGGGGGACCCTTTTACACTGCTGGTGGGAATGTAAACTAGTACAACCACTCTGGAAAAAAATTTGGAGGCTACTTAAAAAGCTAAACCTTGATCTACCATTTGATCTAGCAATACCACTCTTGGGGATATACCCAAAAGACTGTGACACAGGTTACTCCAGAGGCACCTGCACACCCATGTTTATTGCGGCACTATTCACAATAGCCAAGTTATGGAAACAGCCAAGATGCCCCACCACTGACAAATGGATTAAGAAAATGTGGTATCTATACACAATGGAATTTTATGCAGCCATGAAGAAGAACGAAATGTTATCATTCGCTGGTAAATGGATGGAATTGGAGAACATCATTCTGAGTGAGGTTAGCCTGGCCCAAAAGACCAAAAATCGTATGTTCTCCCTCATATGTGGACATTAGATCAAGGGCAAACATAACAAGGGATTGGACTTTGAGCACATGATAAAAGCTTTAGCACACAAGGGAGGGGTAAGGATAGGTAAGACACCTAAAAAATTAGCTAGCATTTGTTGCCCTTAACGCAGAGAAACTAAAGCAGATACCTTAAAAGCAACTGAGGCCAATAGGAAAAGGGGACCAGGAACTAGAGAAAAGGTGAGATCAAAAAGAATTAACCTAGAAGGTAACACACATGCACAGGAAATTAATGTGAGTCAACTCCCTGTATAGCTATCCTTATCTCAACCAGCAAAAACCCTTATTCCTTCCTATTATGGCTTATACTCTCTCTACAACAAAATTAGAAATAAGGGAAAAATAGTTTCTGCTGGGTATTGAGGGGGTAGGGGGGAGAAGGAGGGGGCAGAGTGGGTGGTAAGGGAGGGGGTGGGGGCAGGGGGGAGAAATGATCCAAGCCTTGTATGCACATATAAATAATAAAATAAAGAAAGAATAGTACTAGGGTTATACACAAAACTGTGGTTGTTTTAGGAAATACAATAATTAGGGAGTCAAGTTGTATACCCAACTTCCTTGAAAACAACTTTTTTTAGAAAACCAAATATTTAATATGATATAGAGAAAAGACAATAGAGCAAGATGTTAACTAATAAACGTAAGGGTATATGAGTGCTAAATTACTTTTCTGATCTTTGAAGTCCTCCAAAAAAAAATTGAGAGAAAAAAATTCAGATATCAATGTCACAGCTAATGGCTTATAAGGGGTAATAACAAAAATAAAACTCTGTTCCAAAGCCTAAGCTGCCAAGTCACAGTACTTACCCAAGTACAGTGCCTGTTTCCTGGTAGTTGACTTGAATAAACTTGCCAAAACGACTTGAATTATTATTATGAGCTGTCTTTGCATTTCCAAAGGCCTGTCAAAATAAACATTAGTTCTTTATTTCTTTGTTTTTAAAATGTTAACACTGCTTAAGTAACCTCAAACACAGAATGCTAGACTGGTATGTTCAGAGTCATATTCATAGTTCAGGTAAAATAAAAGAAAGCAATTAATACCTGAAAGATGACCAAGTAGATCTTACTTTACACTATTCAGTAAAATAAAGCTTAACCTTAAAAATCTAATGTTCATTAATATTCAGATTTCTCTTTCAAATTCCAGACTCAACAAAATTTCTTCATGAATTTTAAACTTATATTTTCTAAATAATTTGCTAAGCTGAAATAGTATGGATCTAGAAAAATAATTGTATTGAAACAATTAAAATTTTAGAACTGCATAAGTGAAATAGTTTCATTAAAGTACTGTATTTTATGATTTAAAACAAAGTTATAGTATTGACTACAAAAACTTAAGACATACAAATGGACACAGGAAAATAAAAACACAGCAGAAATTGTCTCTGACAGAGAGACTTACTAAGCAACGACTTTATACTAGCTATTTTGAATATTTTCAAAGATGTCTTAACAGGAGAGCATCAGTAAGAGAAGAGAAACTATAAAAAGCCACGTGTTAAAAAGTACATTAACTAAATCAAAAACTCACTAAAGGGGCTCAAGTGAAAAGATTAGCAACAGAAGAATCAACAATTAGTCAAAAGAAAATCAAAGAAAAATTAGAGAACAGTTTTGAAATAAAACACATCATACTAAGTAAAGAAGTACTTAGAAGTAACTTTACAGCTGTAGAAGCCTATACTAAGAAAGAAAAAAGATCCTATCAATAACCTTACCAGCTACCATAAGAAAATGGAAAGTAAAAAGCAAACAGTATGCCAGGTGCCAGTGGTTCACGTCTATAATCCTAGCCACTTGGGAGGCTGAGATCCAAAGAACTACAGATACATGCCATCCTGGGAAAAAAAGTTGGGAAGACCCCCATTTCAATGGAAAAAAGTTGGGAGTGGGACACACGACTGTCATCCCAGCAATGATGGGAAGTGGAAAATAGGAGGATCACAGCCCAGGCTGGCCTGGGCAAAAAGTGAGACCCTATCTCCAAAATAACTAGAGTAAAAGTGCTGGCTCAAGCTGTACAGCACCTGCTTAGCAAGCATGAAGCCCAAATTCAAATCCCAGTACTTTCCCACCCCCAAAAAAGGAAACAGTAAGAAAAGATAACTAATAGTAGAGGGAAAATAAAGTAGATGATAGAAAAATAATAGAAGTAGTAAAAGCAAAAATTTGTGCTTTGAAAATATTGTTAAAATTGGCCAATCTTCAGGTTTACAGACCAAACCAAAATGGGAGGGTAATTAAAAAAAAAAAAAAACAGGAAAGGGGAGGAGAAAGGAAGAAAAGAGGAATGGAGAAAGGAAACAGAAAAAAGATTCAAATTACTAAATTAAAGAATGAAAAAAATTTTTAAATATTAAAAAAAAAAGCATATGATCATCTCAATAGATGCAGGAAAAGCATTTGACATGAACAAAACCCTGCTGTGATAAAAATACTTAAAACTATGAATGATAGGTAATTTCTTCAATCTATTTAAGGACATATATTAAAAATACAGGCTAACAACAAACTTATAGTGAAAGACTGGAAGTTTTCTCTCTATAATCAGAAAGAAGATGCCCTGTTCTCTTCCTATCTATTCAACATTTTATGTGACTTTCTAGTCAAAGTAATTTGGAAGAAAAAAAAAAAAAAGAACGGTATTTAGATGAGGGCTGGCAGAGTGACTCAAGCAGTAAGAATGCCTGCCTAGCAAGTGCAAGGCCCTGAGTTCAAAACCCAGAGCCACCAAAAAAAAAAAAAAAGTAAAATTATTTCACTTGGCAGGTAACACAAGTCTTGTACCTAGAAATACTAAGAAATACACAAAAACAAGACTTAAAGCAAATAAACTCAATAAATTTCCCCATGAAAAAGACAACTATGCGTTCAGAGTTTCACACATCACTGCAGAAGCCCGTACAGTTAAAGTGAGATCGAGCCAACTAACCAGCATCATGGAGGTTTGAAGATGCCTCATTTGCACTGGTCTAATTTAAAATCATTTTCTTGATTTTTAATATAGAGATGCTTGTACAATTTATGCACAAAGTAGGGAAGCTATCATCGTGCAAGCACCATCTTTTTCACACTTCCACTTTGGGCACTGTCTGCATGTTTGTCTAGCAATAAACAAGAAGTAAAATAATTCCATGTGCAGTAGCATCAGAGACTAAAGTATGTAAGAATTTAAAAAGAGGCACAACTGTATACACTGAATATTAAAAAATACTGCTGAAGGAAACTTCAAAGCTCTAAATGAAAAGGTATCCTGTGTTCATGAGCTAGAAGACTTAATATCGTCAAGATCTATAGATTCAATATGCACTCTATCAAACCTAAACTACCTTTGAAGAAATCCACAGATAATCATAAGATAAACATAGAAATGCAAGGAACTCAAAATATTGCCTCCCAAAAAAAAAATGTCCAGAGAAGAGCGAGACATGGAGGGCACATATATAATCCCAGCACTTGAGAAGATGAGGCAGGAGAATCTCAAGTTCAAGGCCAGCTTGGACTACATAGTGAGAAAAAAAAAAGCCACAAAATACAATCATAAACTTTTTTGTAGTGAACCTACAAAAAAGCTTCTATTCAATCTAATCCACAAAAAAGCTAATATTCAATTTAACCTATAAAAAAAGCTAATATTGAATGTAGACAGGCTGCACAGTTCAAGATCAATGTCTGAGTATCAACTATATATCCACATAGTAATAAGAGCAATTGAAATTTTAAAATGCCATTACCATCCTCCAAAATACTAAGATTAAATATTAGCAAAGATGTGAAAGACCTATACATTTTAAACAAGAAAAGGGCCAGGAGGCACCAGTGGCTCAAGCCTGTAATCCTAGCTACTCAGGAGGCAGAGATCAGGAGGATCACTATTGGAAGCCAGCCAAGGCAAATAGTTCACAAGATCCTATCTCAAAAATACCCATCACAAAAGGGGCTGGTGGAGTGGCTCAAGGTGAAGGCCCTGAGTTCAAACCCCAGTAACACACACACACACAAAAATAGAATTATTGTAAAGTTATGTAATGAAAACAGTGTGGTATTAGCATAGAGAACAATGGGACAGAACAGAGGACCCAAAAATGAACCCACATATACACAAATGATTTCTGACAGACACAAAGGCAATAAAGTGAAGAAAAAAATAGACTGTCAAGAAAAAGCTCTAAAACAAGTAGATATTCACAGGCAAACATTGGATCCATAACTCATACCATATTCAAACAAAATGAACTTGAAGTGGATCATAGGCATAAACGCAAAACCAAAAATTGTGAAACTACTACAAAAAACAGAAGAAAATCTTTGTAACTATGGGATAGGCAAGGCTTCCTGAAATAGAACACTAAAGGCATAACTCATAACAGAAAAAAACAATTATGTTAAAATTTAAAATTCTGCTCTTCAAAAGACACTGTAAAGAACAGGTTAAATCTCAGAGAAAATGTATACAAAACATATACCAGGTATTTTGCATCTTATCAATGGACTTGCAGCCAACAAACATACCTATCAAAACTCAACAATAAGAAAACAACCCAAAGGCTGGGAATGTAGCTCAGTAGGAGAGCACATGCACGATTAGCATGCAGGAGACCCTGGGCACCACAAAAAAGAAAAGGAAAAAAAAATAAAAAGGAAAGTAAACAGTGGGGGTGGTGGTGCATGCCAATAATCCCAGCACTCTGGAGGCTGACACAGGAAGATTGCAAGTTCAAGGTCAGCCTGGCTACATAAAGAGACCATCAAAAACAAAACAAAAGCAAACAAACAAAAAGTAAGTAAACAACCCAATAAAAAGTTGTGCAATAAATCTGGACAGTTTACCAAAGATGATGTATGGATGGCAAATTGACAACATCAGTCAATATAGACAAACAACAAATGAGATGCCTCTACCCACAGAAAGGCTAAAATAAAACGAATGACTGTACTAAGGATATGGAGTAAATGGAGCTGTCATACACTGCAACTGAAAATATAAAACATTCAACACTGACTATGCAATCACTTTTGAACAGGGTGGCAGCTTCTTTTGCAGCTCAACATGTACCTATCATGTAACTTAGTCATCCCATGCCTCAGAATGGAAAGCGTCACACAAACATAAGTCCACGGCTGTATGTATAACAGTCAAAACTGAAGACAAACCCACACACCTGTCAACAAGTGGATAAAGAAACTGTGCTCTATAATCCAATACTACCAACCTTAGCAATCAAAGAGTAACTCACTGACATGCAACAATGTACAATCTGGATACATCTAAAATGATTATACCAAGTGAGAGAAACCAAACACAAAGGGGTGCATAATATATGATTTCATTCACATAAAATTGCAAAAGTACAAACTAATCTAAAAAGACAGAAAGCACCTAAGTGGTTTCTTATACATCAGTGGGCTGGGAGGGTACAGCTAAGCAGAAACATTTAAGACTATGACCGTGGGAGATGGTTCCACAGGTGTACACATATATCAAAATGTATTTTGTGCACTTTAAACGTGCAGTGTACTATATATGAATTACACTTATTAAAATCTCTTTTTAAAACAGGCTGAGGGCATGATCTAAGTGGTAGAGCACTTGCCTAACCAGTGTGAGACCCTGAGATCAAACCCCAGTACCACCAAAAAAAAAAAAAGTAAATAAAGTATTATTACCTCTTCTTTCCAGCTCTACAACAAAAATTATATTCTCTTTCCTTTTCTAAATGACAAGGGGATATTATATATATTTATGGTGTACAACATGATGTTTCTATGCATCTATATATTCTGTAATGGCTAAATCAAGCTATTCAATATACGCACTTTCTCACACACTTATCATTTCTTTATGATAAGATCACTTTAAATTACTCTCAGAATTTAAGTATACAACATGGCGCTATTAACTGTTGGCACCATAACATAAATAGATCTCTTCACCTTAGTCATCTTGTCTCACAGAAGTTCTGTCTTTTTAATCAGTATCTCTCCGTCCCCACAGCCTGTAGCCTTTGGGAACAATACTTTACTCTCCATCTCTGCATTTGACATTTGCAGATTTCACACTGAAGTGAGATGGTACACTATTTATCTTTCTGTACTGCCTTTCCTTTTTACATTTCACAATATTATTTCTTAAATATCCCACATCCATGTCTATTCATTTTTCACATGTAAAACCGTCAAGAGTTTCAATGCCAGGCAGATGTTAAGGCTGCAGAGAAGCAAATATATCAGGAAGAACATTTTCCCCAAATATCTACTTCACAACCCAATTACAAACAGGACTCCTGCCCCTACTTTCTACCTTTCTCAGTGAATCAATGATTCCAGTCACCTCTCACTTTCCATCACTAGTGACCCAAAGAAACTTTTAAAACAATTATAACTTTTAGTACACATACTATCTTTTCTGCTTTGCCATCCTCCAATCTCTCTGAGCAATCAAAAATGACACGTATACATCTGTGTAGTTTTGTTTCATCTTCTCACACCTACCAAGTATTTTTAAAGGTATGTTTGGAAATAAAAAAAATCTATTTTTAAACACTGACCTCAAGTACTGGTCCGGCTCCAAGAATAATCTGCTCCACTCCGCTGGCAAATCCTTTCTGGCTTAGGGCGGTCAGGTGGTGAATAAGGAAGTTTGTGCTTTGGGTCTTCCCAGAACCACTCTCTCCTGAGATCACGATGCACTGGTTCTTTTTGCGCTGAAGCATAGCATGATATGCTACATCAGCCACAGCATATATGTGGGGCTCAAGTTTTCCTAGTTGGTGGTTATCATACATTTTGACATATTTGGGGTTATAAATAGGAAGAAATTTGAATGGGTTAATAACTATTAGAATACTGCCAACATAGGTATAAATTTTTTCATGCTTAAAGCGACTTCGTAGGTTTTCTAAGAGAGTTTTCTCATTCAAATCAGGCAGGCTACACAAGTCATCAAAATCTTTCTGTGGGGGCTGAGGGAGAAAGCCCCGCTCCTGCATTCTGCGGCGCTCTTCGGTCACCCGCAGCCATGACTGCAGGCTGCCATAATGGATGGAGCCATCGAGGTTCTTCTCCCTCAGGAGAAAGCGGTAATCCTCACCACTCAAGCGATTTTCCAGAGCCATTCGGGGCCACAGCATCATGCGCTGGACCGGACAGTCTGTTGGATTGAGGATCCATTCTTCTCCACCAAATTCCTTCACCTCTGCTAAGACGTAACACTTTGTTTTGTCTAGATGGAGTTTGTTTATAAGAGAGTCAATCACCTCCGCAGCTGTGGAGTTTTTCCTGGCAGGAATTGGACAGTAGATTGTCCCTTCCGCAATGGTCCCAGGATATACACGCAATGTATGCTCACTATCCTCAAAGCGTCGTCTTCCTCCATCACTTATATTCATATTGGATCCTGTCCCATCAGCATGGATAGTGTGTGTTCAAGAGTGCACAAACCATCTTCTTGGCAAAAGAACTAAAAACACAAAAAATATGAAGTATTTAGAAGACATATTACACATTACTTTCTGATGCTCAAAAAGAAAGCCTTAATGAACATGTTGAATATATATTTGAGAACAAAAAACCCCAACACTTTGTATATGCACAAGTTCTGAAAATAGTCATTAAGACCACATGATATTAAGTATTACTGTCCAAATCAAGACACTTTCTAAAATAATAAGTAGCCAAAAAATATATTTTTCATGTTTTGTTGTATCAAAAATAATCCGAAGAGTACAAAGGGAAATTATTTTTCCCTTCTACTTCAAATGTTTCTAAGGTACTTGAAGATCAGAGCTAACTTCTTTCTCTATCCTTGAAGAACCTGACTGAAGACTGGATTAAAGAACACAATAATTATACAAAGCTCATCACCCTGAAATACCCCACTATCATCCAGACCAAAAAAATCAACAAAGGAGCTTCAGAGTTTAACTGCACAATAGATCAAATGGGCTTAACAGACGTCTACACAACATTCCAACCAACAGCAAGGAAATACATTCTTCTTAGTAGTCCATGAAGGTTCTCCAAATATAGCATATTTTACACCATAAAGAAAGTTCTAACAAATACAAAAATAAAAAGTTGGAGGAGATTCCTTATATCTTATCAGATCACAATGGAATAAAATTAGCAATCAGCAGCAAGAAAAACTACAGAAGATACACACATATGGAGACTGAACAATATACTTTGGAATGATAAGTGGGTTATTGTGGAAATTCTAAATTTATACAACCGAATGAAAGTAAAAAAACAACTTGCCAGAAGCTTTGAGATATAGCAAAGGCAGTTCTAAGAGGGAAGTTTATAGGGATGAGTAAGCAACATTTAAAAAAAATCAGAGCGGGGCCAGTGGCTCATGCCTGCAATCTTAGCTACTTGGAATCAGAAGGATTGAGGTTTGAAGCCAGCCTGGGCAAATAGTTCAGAAGAACCAATCTCCAAAATAACCACAGCAAAACTGGACTGGAGGTGTGGCTCAAGCAGTAAAGATCTGACAAATGGAATTGCATCAAATTAAAAAGTTTCTATACAGAAAAGGAAAACAATTATCAGAGTGAAGAACAATCTACAGAATGGGAGAAATTTTTATCATCTGTTCATCTGAAATGATTAATATGCAGAATATATAAAGAACAAAAAAACTTAAAACACTAAAAGAACAAATAATCTAATCAACAAATGGGCAAATTAACTGAGCACACAGTTCTGAAAAGAACAAGTACAAACGGCCAACAAATACATGAAAAAAATTTTTCAACACCGTTAGCCATCAGGGAAATGTAAATCAAAACTACAGTCAGATTCTATCTCACACCAGTCAGAATGGCTATCAATAAGAAAACAAACGAGGTGGGGTGTGGTAGCTCACACCTGAAATCCCAGCTACTCAGGAGGAAGAGCTCTTCGAGATCAAGGTTCAAGACCAGGAAGGGCAAAAAGTTCTCAAGATCCCCATCTCAACCAAGAAAGCTTGGTGTAGTGGTGCCTCCTGTCATCCCAGCTAGGCAGGAAGTAGTAAATAGGAGGATCACAGTCCAGGCTAGCCCAGGCAAAAACTTAAAACCCTATTCAAAAAATAACTAAAGCAGAAAAGACTGGGGACATGGCTCAAGTGATATAGCCCCTACCAGCTGAGCAAGAACAATACCCTGAATTCAAATCCCAAGTACTACAAAAAGAAAAGAAATGGAAACAAAAACAAAGGCTGATCAGGACACTAGCAGATGGAAGACACCCTTGTGCACTGTTGGAGGGAGTATGAATGATACAGTTACCAGGGCGTTAAGTATGGAGGTTCCTCACTACTACATGATCCTGTCCTACCTGCCATACCACTCCTGGGTACATACCCAAACCAATCAAAGTCAACATACAGTATCGTGGCACTGCTCATGCTAGCCAAGGTTATGGAATCAGCCTTGGCGCCTATCAATGAATGAGTGGATAAAGAAAATAAGGTATGTATACACAATGGAGTTTTATTCAACCATAAAGAAGAATAAAATTATGTCATTTTCAGAAAAACAGATGGAACTAGAGATCATCATGTTAAAATAAACCAGACACAGAAAAACATATATCACATGCTTTCTCTCATGTGTGCAATCTAGAACTTTAAGAAAAAAAAAAAAGAATAAAAGTAGAAGGGAGACAATTTTGGGAAGAAGGGAATCAGTCAAAGGAGGGAGAGGAAATCAGAGAGTGATAAGGGGAGGTGCACATGATCAAAGTACATTATATACCTGTATAAAAATGTCATAATGGAAACCATTATTTTTACAACTAATATGCACTAATAAAATTTTTTTCAATAGAAACATGAAGAATACCTTCAGTTACTTCCATCTCATACTACTACCTATTTGTCAAAGTTCTCTAGTCAAGACACTTTCTTTCCTTTATCCTGGATGATCTTCCAAACACAGATTATGGAACATATTTACTGCTCAAATTCAACAACTTTGAAAACTGCTATACTTATTCAAGATCATTTGATAAACAAATAAAATATTAAAGACACAGCTAAAGCACCTTCTCTGTGCAGTGTCTGGTATTACTCCCACACGTTCTTATAGCTGTATTGACTCTCCATAAATTATAGTCAATATTGATTTTCTTAAGAAATGGTATCACACTACACTTAATAATTTGCCTCTCACTTTAAATCAACATTGCCTTTTGTATTTATGCATGCTGATATTCCACTGCACCCACCATCCTTCTAGTGAACAGTAGGGGTATTTCCAACACTACTCTACAAAAACAGTAAGGCAATTCTTCTGCCTGTCTCCTCACATCGTCTTTGCTAGAATTTCTCTGGGCTGTATACACAGGAGTGAAACTGCTGGGTGTTTTACCTTCAGCTTCACCAGATATTACAAAATAATCATTTCAATTGACTTTCACAAGTGTAGGAAAATTCAGATTTTTCTGCCTCCTTAGCAAACACTGGCATTGTCAGACCTGAGTACACAAAACTTATTTAGACTTTATTTTGCATCTCCGTGATTATTAACAACAATGGGCACCTCTAATCTTCTCATCTGCCATTGGGCCACGTTACTCATTCACTTCTCCCCTTTTTTTTATGAGCTGTCCCTTTGTTTTTTTTAGCAGTACTGGGGTTTGAACTCAGGGTCTTGGGCTTGCTAGGCAGGTGCTCTACCACTTGAGCCACGCTTCCTGACCTTTTAGCTTTAGTTATATGTTGAATAGGGGCTTCTGGTTTTTGTTTTGTTTCTTGCCTCGGCCAGCCTGGACCACGATCCTCATATTTACGTCTCTTGCACAGCCAGGATGCCAAGCACACACTACCAGGCCCAGGTTATTGGTTGAGATGGGCTCATGATAAATTTTTGCCCATACTTGCTTCAAACCATGATCCTGAGTAGCCGGGATTACAGATGTGGACCACTGCACCTGGTAAAAGCTAACCTTTCCTTATCAGTTTGGGTGAGTTTTTTATATATCAACAATGTACATGTAGGAAATACTTCCTACCAACCAAGTAACTTATTTTATTTACACTGCCCTTTGATATAGAGAAATTTTTTAACAGTCAAATTTATTGATCCTTTACAGTTTATGCTTTGTTTTTGTTTTGTTTTGTTTTGTTTTGTTTTTCCGTGAAATGCTGGAGATTCAAAGTAGGACCTTCAGCATGCTAGGTAAGCACTGTACAACTGAGTGAGACCCTGTTTTTGTTGTTGTTAACAAGATCTTGCTAGGTTGCCTCAGTTGTCCTCAACCTGTGAGCTTCCTCCCTCCACCTTCTGATTAGCAGAGATTACAGGCGTGCACCTCACTTCTGGTCTGATTTTCTTTCAGCAAGCAGTATCAGCAGCAGCTGTAGTTAACACATAACGCACACTTTTTTCTAAGTTGTTTTGTAAGAACTTCACATGAATTGTCTCATCTAGTCTTCACAATTCCTCCCTGATAGTTGCTTTTATCATTGGCATCCTCACTTTACAAACAAGAAAACAAATGCAGGAAAATTACCTAACTTGTCCAAACTCAACTAGAATGTGATAAAGTTGAGACTTGAAGCTGTAAAGCTTACATGCTACTACTTTTTGGATATTTTTTAACATCCTCCTTATCCTGTAGACATAAAGTTATCCAACATTTCCTTCTAAAAGGCTGTGTTTTTTTGTTTCTGTTGTTGGTTTGGAGTTTTTAATACACACAGAATTTATTTTCAGGGTGCTTTTTCACCCCAACTCAGGTCAACAATGGGAACCAGCAGCACCTCATTTACGAGTCTCTCCCCACTGATTTTTCTCTTTTTGGTGGTACTGGGTTTTGAACTCAGGGTCTCATGTTTGCTAGTTACTAGGCAGGTGTATTACCACTGGAGCCATGCCCCCAGCCCTGTTTGCCTTGGTTATTTTTGAAATAGGGTCTTGTATTCTTACCTGGCTTTGCCTGCCTGGCAGGCATGGACCTCCATCCTTCATCTTAAGCTTTCTGTGTAGCTGGGTAACGGCACACAATACCACACCCATCTTTTTGATTGCTGAGAAAGTGTCTCACTAGTGTCCCTCCCCCCCAACCCCAAGCCCAGCTGGAACCACAATCCTCCTATTTCTGCCTCCCAAGTAGCTGGAATTACTGGCATGAACTGCTACAACTGGCTTACCCACTGGTTTTTAAAGACACCTTTTCATGTAGCCAATTCCAGGCAGTTATCAACAGGTTCTGGGTTTGGCATTCTATCCCACTGGTCTATTTGTCCATCCCTGAGCCTACCTTAATTACCACACTTCTGTGATAAATTCTGATGTGTGAAGGGCCTATCACCACAATTTGTTCTTCTTTAACTATTTACTCTGCCATAAGAATTTTAACATCAGCTTATCAACTACCATGAAAAACCCTTTTGGTATTTTGACCCTCATTGACTTTACAAATACTGGAAAGAACTGACATCTTTTTGACTCTTCCCATTCATGAACACTA